GCTACCATGGTGTATGTATTCTGGGAGATTCATAAGAATGGAATTACATAATGAAGGGCTTTTTGTAGCTAGATTATTATACATGGCCTAATTCTTTCAAAAGTTACATTGTGCATGCATCAGAGCTTCATTGCTTTACATAACCAAATAATATTTCATTGTATGTTTACATGATATCTGTCCATTCATCAGGTGATGGGTATATTATTTCTTTTAATATTCTGATGTTTCTGAATAATGTTGCTTTGTACTAGATTTCATTTGGATGTGTGTTGGTCTTCTTTGGGAATTATTTAATATTGTGGTTTCAGGGTCATATGGTAAATCTGCCTTCCCATTATTTGAGAAAATGCCAGACAGATATCTAAAGCAGCTGTACCACTTATATTGTCACTGGTATTGCAGGATATGTTCATTATAAATGTCACTAATTATGACATTAGTACAATAAAATGCTAATAAAACACTTTGAATGGAGAAGTTGTATGAAATCAAAGAATTTTGAAGAACATAAATACAATTCATAAAAGAGGTGTGAAATTGAGATGAGATATCATGGTATGAAAGTCTAAGGAACAGCATTAAATAAGATAGGGAAATTATAACATTTAGAAAAAATAAAAAAACATGAAATCTTCCTACTTTATAGTTTCTTGAAAGGCAGATCCCACATTGAAAACTTTCTTTAAAGCTGTCATGACATCCCTATTTCTGAGACTGTGGATTAATGGATTTAGCACAGAAGTGAGTATGGTATAAAAGACAGATACCACCATGTCCTTCTCAGGGGTGTGGTAGGAGCTGGGGAGCATGTAATTATACATGGCAGTCCCATAGAAGAGGGTGACCACAGTCATGTGGGAGGACCAGGTGGCAAAGTCCTTCCTCCGGCCCTCTGCTGAGTTCATCCTGTGGATGGTGAGGAGGATGAAACCATAGGAGCCTGAAATGATGGTCACAGGGATGAGCAGCATGAGGACACAGCAGAGGTATATGAGTGTCTCATACAGGGAGATGTCTGAGCAGGAGAGCTTCCTCACAGCAGGGACCTCACAGAAGAAATGATGAATCTCCCGGGGTCTACAGAAGGGGACGGTCATGGTGATGGGAGTGAACAAGAAGCCATCCACAGATGCCAGAGTCCCAGGGCCTGATGCAAGGAGGATGCATGCCCTGTGGTTCATGAGGACAGGGTAACAAGGAGGACGCCAGATGGCTGCATAGCGGTCATAACCCATGACAGCTGGGAATAAAAATTCTGACCCTGACAGTGTCACATAGAGGAACATCTGCATCCCACATCCAGGGTCTGAGATCGTGTTCACACCTGTGACCCGGTCCATGAGCATCTTACGGACAGTGACAGAAATGTACGTTACATCCATGAGAGACAATGGCAGATGAAAAAGTACATGGGGGTGTGGAGCCGGGCATCAGAGCGTATCAGAAGGATCAGGATGGTGTTTCCAGGCAAGGCCATCAGGAAAACCATGAAAATGACCACACAAAGGAGAACTGGATGTTTGGATTGACTGAAGATTCCCAGCAGGATGAAATCAGACTGTGCAGTGTGATTGTCCACCCAGTTAATGGTTTCTGTGAAGATTCACATAAATGAACGAAGAGAAGTTTGGGTTTAATAATCATTCATTTACATCTGAAATGAGTAAATAAATATTTATTGAGTGTGAGTGTTTATGACTGTGTGTGTCTATCACTTGTCCTAAACAGAAGAATTTCCATGCACATGCAGAAATGGGACTGCTCATTATGATTTCAAATTTCCAAGAAAGGGAAGAATTCACAAATATGGGTAAAAATATTTGGTTTTTATACTGGAGTTGCCAGAAATCAGGTCATGGGGTTTCTTGATGACAATGTCACACATCAACATGTATTAGAAAATTACAGAGATTCTGCTTAAGCAAATACTAACTTGCTGAGCTGTGGCAGCAGGGGAGGAAGGCAAAGCAGAGACATCCTCCTTGTACAAAATAAGGAAGCGACTACAGCAAATACTACTAACCCTGAAAATGACCCAAAAGCAGCAGAATAGACCATCTGCACCTGGTGAAGAGAAGGCAAAACTGCGAAGAGTAAAGTGACAGAGCCATGACTAATTGGGACCGAGACCCATTCCCCATTCCGGCCCACTAGATGGGTTGGGGGGAGAGGAGGGAAGCAGAGTGGATAAGCGCTCAGGGATCTAGCACACTGGCCCAGATAAATGCTCCAGGCAGATGAGTCCACGTAGCACTGGGCTTTAGTGAGTGACAGCGCTGCCCTCCAGGGAGATGTGCAGCATTCTGGAAGGCTGTGATCCTGTAACTTGTGGAGGAAAGGCATCCTCCATTGACCCCACTGAGATACAAGCAGAGACCACACATTGAATGGTTTACCAGCAGTGAGCAGTGTGCCACAGATGCATGGGTCAAGGGAGCTCTTTCCAAGGATAAAGGGCAGGTGGATGTTGCCTCCCCAGCCACGCCTCAGCCCAGCTGGCTGGGTATTCACAGGAAACCGCTGGGAGCACTCCATCTCCCTCCCTGTAGCTCAGCCACATGGCAGCCCTTCCTTGTGCCCCGCTCTGCCCAGCCCACTCAGCCAGGCAGACTGCTGTGCCTGCAGGCAGAGGGAGGGCACTTCCAGGTGTCCCTAGCCCTCCCCCAGTCCACATGGTGGGTGCATGCATGAACCAGCCCTGTACTCTAGCTCCCTCACTGGAAGGACGCCCACAGCAGCTCCCTGCACTCCTGCCCTGTCCTGCCATCTTGGCCCAGCAGCAGCTGCCTTTGCTGACAAGCAGGCAGAGGGCAGCTCTACCTATAATTCATCCCAGCAGAAGTGCCTCAAGGCATCCAAAGGGCCCAGAGGCCTGCGGGCTCCTCTGCTGACCCAGACCAACCTCTGCTGGCAGATAGGATGAAAGGCAGCCTTGCCCATTGCCCACCAGCGGCACCCTAGGGCCCCACCTTAAAGGAGAACTGGGCACTGAGAGTAAACTGTCTTCAGCTGCTGTTCACCAAGGATGCCTTCTTTATGAATCCATTACCTACCCTGCACACCAGGAAGCATAACAGACAAAGTTTAACTATAAGGAGAGAGTAGTGACCAGAGAATTAAAATAGTCAACCAGAGAATTAAAAATATTAGTTATGAGTGAAACCCCATCAGGCTGTCAGGAGACTACTCAGCAGAACCATACAGGCAGACCCGGGGCATGATATGCTTGATGTACTGAACCTTAAAGACCTTCACCAAGAATCCTCTAAGAGCAAAAGTCTCATTCAAATATGCAAAGATTAAACAATTCCCAGATAAATGACTACTCAAGGAATTTATGACCATTCAATCAGCATAACAGGATACATTAAAGTGAGTGCTGTAGATGGAAAGGTTTCTAAGGATACATAGTTTTATTTTTTTAAATTCTATTCTGTGTTTATATGAAATTGCTTGTTTGTGTGCTTTTTTTTGGATTCCACATGTAAGTGAGGCCATACAGTGTTTGTCTCTGTGTGGCTTAGCTCAGTGCAATGCCTTCCAGATTCACCTGGCAGGAGCAGTGCCACTCAGGCTGTTTGACAAAGTCCAGGCACAAGAAGGGCACCTGCAAAGTAGGTGTCCTCGCAGCTGGCTCCTCCTTCTACCTGTCCTTTTGTTTTTGGTTATTATCATGATAATTGGGCTTTTGCTTGGAGTTTATCATCTTCCTGATAATGCAAGCAACCCTGATGGGAGCAGTGATTTTTCAAGTAAGCATTTAGAACACTGATCATAAGGAAACTAGTAATTCGGGGAAAAACCCAGAATTAAATGATTTAGCAACCCCTTTGAAGTTAATTGAAGCATGCCCTCCGTTTTGCAATAATGGTAACATTAGAATCACATGGCCTGGCATATTCAATAAGAGGTGTTTATGAACCCCCCAAGCCAAACATGAATATCTATGTAGAACAAGTATTATAGGAAGATAAGATGTGGTTACTGTATTCACTCCTTAGATGATAATAATAACAATATTCGGCTAGTCTATTAGCTGACCTTTGTTTGACCACTGTCTATCACCTTGAATGCTTCACTTACTTTGGAAATCATTTGCATAATAATCAGTCAGAAAAGTTAGACATAGAACAGCATAAAGCAGGAAATGATGGTATCTGTCTACAATTACAGGTAGTGAGTTGGAATAAGTTAGAAACAGAAAAAAAATTGTATCATTACTGATCAAAGGACAAATGAAGATTGTAACATCACTGATCAAAGGACAAATGTCTGGAATGGATATCATATAAATAAAACACTTCTAGCATGCTTGCTAGGAGATGCAACCAGCCTGACTCGTGTCTTGTCTCCTCATTCACCGACGCTGTCTCATCCTTTGGGCATCCCAACCCTTGATAGAGCTGGACTCCGGGAAGTGGCACCCAATGTGGGGCTTGAAGTAAGCATTTATCTTGGGGATGGATAGGATTCTGCTCGGGGTGCTGCAGACCCCCCTGTAAAGCATAATAGGGCAAGGAAGGGCAGAGAATCCAGAACACTTTAAGCTAGGGGCCATACTGAGTCTAAAGAAAGAGGATTCTTGATTGAAATTTTAATGCATATGCTTGGAGATAAGAGTATAAAAGTCACCAATGGACAATGAGCAAAATTCTTACATTTCATCCAGAAATGTTGTCCTCGGTTTCCTGACTAAGGCACAGTGAGTCTCGCTACCTGGCAGAAGGTTAGAGAAGAGATAAGGGAATATTATGCCAGCCACGAACCTGAGAGGGTCCCTACAGATGCCTTTGCACTGTGGAATTTAATCAGAGGTTTTAGAACCTAGACAGCAGATAGAGACCCTCCCGCAAAAGCCATCCAACTAAGAATCTCAAGAGGAAAGCAATAGGCAGAAAACAAAAGGCAACAGGAAAGGATGTGGCACTAATAAAGAAAGAGACAGAAAGGAAGATTCCCTTGGAGAAGTTGATGAGGATACTCCTTTAATTCCCAAAATGGAGAAACAAACAGCACCTAAAGTCATGCTGGCATCAGCTCCTCCATATGATGATGACATCCTTAACCCTGCAGAGGTCATTTAAAATTTTCCAGAAGCTACATTAAAAATGTAAAAAGAAATAGATAAAACTAATTTTAACCTATATTATTTAGAAAGACATATCCAGAATATCATTTCGATATATATCCTATATACATGTTAATGCTATATGTTGCATATCTTTTTTCACACTGTCTTTGAATAATCAACGTAATTTTTTATTATAGCACATCGCCATTCAGAACAGCCATGTCCCAGGTCCCCAACAGTCCACATCACTGCTGGCTAATGTAAGAGACAGCATAGATCTACCCGATACCAGTGGAAACCTTCTGTCAAGTAACCTACTGGTTCACAAGCGTGGTGAAATATTATCGGATATAGCTATAGAGGCACAAATCTAGTAAATTAAATTCATGTTCATCTAGGGAAGCCTCTCTTTTGGGAGGCAATGTCCTCCAGCATCATTTAAATCAGTTTCTCTCCCATTCATTTTTCTATTAAAACAGTTATTCATTAGTTTTTGCTACCATATCACTAATTATGTTGGTCAGTTGTATATTATCAGTTTCTGCTAAAAGAAGGAAAATAAACATTATCTGACCCCAAATTTTTCTCTTATTATCTTCTTTCTAAGATTTCTTAATTGCCTCTCAAAGCTCAGAGTGTTCATGTTTCTTAATCCAACAGGGAATCATTATTTTCAAATATACAATACCTAATGAGCATATGCTAAGCACTCACATTTTTACAATGTACAAATGTGGGAAGAATAGTGTAAATTAGGTAAAATTAGTCAAGGTTATAATATTTTTATAGGCAAAATATATGCTCGAGAGAAATCTTCAAACTGATTTCCAATTGTGAGAACTGAAGTTTAGTGGAGGGGAATAAGTATATAAGTCGGGAATTCCATCCTTTTATTACCCACCAGTCCATCCCTATCCAGTATGACAAGTTCTAAGTTCTCTCCTTTATGTATATTCCCTCAGTGTGAGATTGCATGTGAACAAAACAAAAAAAAAACAAATAAATGTTTTTGAGCCTAAAGACACAAAGTGGTTTCATCATGACCTTTAAGTTCAGAAGTAATAGTCAGCAAATCAAACATGTCAGCCTTGAATGGGTGATGGCGTGGGGTGACGTAGCCGCTCAGGTTGTCCCAGGCACTTCAAGTTCCCAACTTCATCCCTGGGGGTGGGGCTTACTTAGGACTCAAAGGACAAAGACTAATTTCTCAAAGCAGCATGTTAGCTGGAATCAACCACAGGAAGTATTAGAAAAAGGGGGGAAATTACATAATGAGATATGATTAGTATGTCTTGCTTTGTCCATGGCTGTATGACAATACTTGAAGCAAATCAAATATTTATCTTTTGGGTCCAACTTCACCCACCATATCCACTGCTCTTTCATGTAACCTGCAGAGCCATGGAGCGGGGCAGCTATTCTGTGTACGATGACTTTGTCCTCCTGGAAAAGGCCGCTTTCCCTGGATCCTTTTTGTCCTCATCCTCCTGGGCTTTGCCATTTCCATAGCCAGCAGCACCACCATGATCACCGTCATCCCCAGGACCCCCACCTCCACAACCCCGTGTGCTTCCTGCTCCCTTGGAGCTCGCGCTCCTGGACCTCCTGTACCTCTCCACCATCGAGTCCGAGGTGCTGGTGGACCAGATGGTGGGCCAGCGGGCCAGCTCCTGCGCAGCCTGCGCTGCCCAGCACTTCCTCTGCTTGACCTGGGCAGGCGCCGAGTGCTTCCTGCTGGGCTTCATGGCCTATGACCGCTATGTGGCCGCCTGCCACCCCCTCCGCTGTCCTGCCCTCATGAGCTGCAATGTCTGCTTACTCATTGTGCTGGCAGCCTGGCTGGGAGAGTCTGTAGACGGCTTCTTGCTCACACCAGTCGCCATGCAGTTCCCTTTCCGTGCCTCTCGGGAAATCAGCCACTTCTTCTGTGAGGTCCCCGCCCTCCTGAAACTCTCCTGCACGGTCACCTTGGATTATGAGGTGGTCATGTGTGACTGCTGCATCACCATGCTCCTCATCCCTTTCTCCGTCATCTCAGCCTCTTACACAAGGATTCTCATCATGGTCCACAGGACGAGTGAGGCAGACGGAGGGGAAAGGCAGTGGCCACTTGCTTCTCACACATGGTAGCTGGCAGCCTGTTCTACGGAGCCGCCATGTACACCCACGTGCTGCCTCACTCTTACCACAACCCCCGAACAGGACAAGGCTGTGTCTGCCTTCTACACTATCCTCACTGCCCTTCTCAGCCCACTAATCTACGGCTTCAGGAACAAGGATGTCAAGGGAGCCCAACAGTAGGTGCTGGGGAGGTGCTTGCCCTCAGGAAGGATAACCACCTTCTAAAAAAACTGCATTTGCTGCTATGTTTGAAGAGTGGATATAAGACTTTATCATCACATGTGATTTTAAACATTCTTTGCCTATGAACTTGACAAATCACCCACATGCCAGCAACTATTGGGATTTAGAGAGTTGACTATAGAATTTTGAGGATATGGCCATTTTTTGAAAGGTGTGAGAGCCAGACCCGGAGGGATTTGGGATGGAGTAGGAGTCAGGCTGGAGCCTCAGCAGGCACCCATCTGCTCTCCACAAAGCGTGCATCCCCTGGAAATCACCCAGTTCTGTTTCCTGCTGTGGTCTGTCAGGGCAGAGGAAATGCTCATCTCAGCTACTTCTCCAGCTGCTCACCAGTTTGTCTTTAGACACTTAACACATTTACCACTTCAAAGATATTAACTTGCCAAATGTTGTTTTGATTGTATCGCAAATGTATTTCAATGTCTCATGAATTTTCCGACAGATGATGCTTCTGGTCTCCTACATTTAATTCAGTCAAGCCAGTATCGGGATCATCTTTTGTTGGAAAAAAATTGGTTTGACTCTGTGTAATTAATCTTCTCAGCTGAATTCCATCCACATGACTTGTGGACATAATAGCACATGTAAAATTTTGGAGAAGACCAGCCACTTAATTTTTGCCCCATAAAATTTTGCAAGACGTTATCTAGAACAATGGGTTATTCAACTTTTTAATGTACTTTTCATAAAGATAAATGATTCCTACCTGCTCAATCCTTCATTGTTCCAGCTTCTGAATGATATCGTTTAATAGAAACAAACAGGGCAATTTGAAATCACATGTTTTTCACTGTACTTAAATTGTCTGGTGGCCTAATTTATTTTTCAATTTATAAAATTTTCATGTAAAAGGAATGTGATTCTTTTGAGTGTGAAAGGGTTCTTTCTTTTTTAGAAAATTAATATACATTACTAATTTTTTTCTATTTTTATATCTTCATTTAGCTTAATTTATTTAATCTTTTTTATAATTGATTATTAGCCAGTACTCTTCTGAAGTAGAGAAAGTTGCTTTTATCTCTGCTCTTCCCCATGCTTTTCCCCACTTGACTAAACTCCAATTTTAAGTCCTCAGACTTTGCATCTTACTTTCCTATTGTGGAGTTTACTTACCACACATTTCATTATCTAAAAAAGGGATATTGTGCATTACAAAGAACAATATGTAATTTTATAAAAGCTTGGTTTTAAAATTTATAAGTATGGGGTGATTTAAATGTTTACAGACAAGTCAGTTGGGAGTTTATATGTGTTTCAGAAATTCTAATGCTTTTACACCCTGAAAAACAAAGGGAAAAAACTTAATTGCGGAGCTTTCAAAGGCACCTTATTTTTCTGTCTTGCATTTCCAAAGAGGACAGATGGGTGAAAGATAACATTGTTTCTTATTCCTAAATATAAGCATGTGTCCTATCTTCCCTCATTTACAGCCATTAGACCCAGAAATTGGAGTCAACTTTTAGACTCCACCACTGTGTCCTGATCTCTGAAGATTCCTCAGCCCAACCCTTCACTTCCTTAAACTTTATTTTCTAACACCTGAGTCAAGGAGAAAATGACCTAGCCTAGGGCTAAAAGTTGGTCATTTTCTGATTTAGGAACAGTGAATATGCCTTATAAGTGGATGCTGGATAGGCAAAGAAGAGCAAGATTAGAAAACCTAAATCTTCGTTGCAGAGACACTTTGCCATTATAACCCTTGTTAAGATCTAACTATAGTTAAATTTTCTATGTCATATGGAATAAATTAATTTCTTGAACTCCTGTTTCTCAGTATATTAAAATAGGATATTCTAACCTACTTTTTATCTCAGAGGGATACTTTTAAGAGAAGATGAGATTCCTGGTGCAAAGAAACTTCAGCTCTGGAAGGTACTACGTGCCATGATGTATTACTATAAGTGACCTGTCACCACAGAGAAAGTGCCTGGAAACCGGCCTCCCACACCCACTTCTGCTCTAGGAGTGATCTCATTGCCCAACACTGCACTTCAGCCAGAGTTCATTCTTGCAGAGAGGAGGGTACAGAGGCACTCAGCGCCTTCAAACTCCAACATAAGGCCGTTAATAGAACATGCAGACATGTTTCAAGGACTTCTGTTAGTCTGACTAATGTCACACACCCTTGTGATAAAAGAGTCATTGGCTTCTAGGGTGTCATGATTGGCTGTTTGCCATAAAGTCACTTCATACAGATTTCCACCTATCTTCTGATACTAAAAAAAAAGAAATGAAAAAAGGTAAAGCACCCTAACATAAAGGAAACTACCCAGCCAGCTGTGGGGGGCTTGCCTCCCTCCTTTTCTGATCCAGTGAATGAAAGGGGGCCATATGCTTCCAGGCATATTTCTCATGCATTTCTCTCCAGCTTAGTTTGGACATATAGTTGGCAGTAAAATAATAGAAATTGTTTCACTAAAATAAATATCACACATTCTTTAACACAGTTCTTTTCAGCATTACCCCATTCTCTCCCCACCAGCCTTCTGCTAGGAAGTCTATGGTATGTTTGCCGTTAGTGGGGTATGCCTTTCCCCCAGCTTACGCCTTTCTCCCCTCCTGCTTCTCCTGCCCCTCCTCCTTCTAATCTGCATCCCTCCCTCTGCTGTTCCTAATGACCCCTGCCTCCTGACCCCTTTTCTCTTTTCTCCACCTCCCTCTTGCTCTTGCACTGTTCCCATTCCCACGTGTCCTGGTATTTCAACTGGGCTCCAGCACCTGCTGCCGTCTCCAAGGATACCGCTCCCAGTGGTGTTAGGTTTTAATTAGTCTAGCTTAGCAGAGCATCCAGGAATGGGGAAATCATGGGGTCTTTTAAAATGGGCTTCCACAGCGCATCTGCAATGACCTGAGGAAAGGAGATGTGGCAGGTGTGGAGAGACTTGTAATGGAAACTTATGTGACACAGATGTGTTTATCTTGGTCACACAGGTGTAGTCAGAAAAAAGTTTGCATGATGAAAACATGAGGTGAATTTCTATCTGCTCTCATTATAGTGTGTTCACTAGGATTCTTTGGTTCTGATGTAAATAATTTTAGTGTAATCTAGATGGAATTCTCACAATATTCAGCATCTACTCTTCCATAATGAGCCAGATAAGTATAGAAAATTTGATTCCCTAATTCTCAACCTGTGTTTGTGCTTTCTCCGCCTTAGACGCCTGATTCACGTGAGCTCCGGTTAGGTTCTGCCATCCGCTTTACAAGCTCCTTCGATGTTTGCATCAAGTCCTTTGCCTTAGAAGCTCGACTTCTAGGGATTACAGTCTTTGTTTAGAAATATCCTAGGGCACTTTCAATAATCTCAAGAGAAATGGTCCAAACATGATTTTCTTCCCTTAGTTATTTCATAGCAAATAGACAGATACTAAGCTCATGTGGTAATAGTGATAGAATTACTTTCGATTAAGCAACCTAATAAAGCACTAAGGGTTAAAATGGAAAATAAGAAAACACCATATAAATTCTGCAACACAGAACATTAAAGCTCAAAGTAATCTCAGAGATAATCATGCCAAACCTTTTTATTTAACAAATGGAAAACCAGCACTAAGACTGGAATTCTCTGCCCAAGGACACACAGAAAGGGGAACTACTGCACCTGTTGCCCAGGTATCCTTATTCCGGGTTCAAGGATCTTTAGCATTTCCTTTGAGCCTTTTAATTTAATCATTCCTCAAAGGATATGTTTGAATTATATGATTTCCAAGTCACTGTTTAGATCCAATATTCTACCTGCTGTGAAATGTTCCTTCCCCCAGGTCTCAAAGTGTCTTCATGATTTATTCTTCCATATTTGAGTCTCCAGTTATAGAACTATTGATATGTATCTCTGTCTTTTCAGGGACATGCACAGAGAGCTAAAATCTTTAGAAATCTAGAAAGAATGTTCTAAAAATACATATTAACTTATGCCTTCTCATGGTACAAAGTGTTAGCAATCTGGAAAGCTGTGAGTGGGCAGAATTATTTGAAATCAAACCAAGGCCTGGGAATGCAAACATCCAGCCTCAGAGCTGCTCTTTCGGAATGTAGGTGCCGTGTCTATTTCTATCTCAGTGTGAGGAATATTACTGGAAAGGCTGAAGGAGCTGAAGGAGAGTTAAAAGAGAAAGATGAGCAGGAGACATGAAGAAAGGAAGTTTGCAGTCACAACATATCTATTGTACATATATAGTTTGGACTCTGTGGTATTTTTACAAGATAACTAAATTCAACACTAGATGAAAAATTATGATATTCCATAAGTTGTGCTATTTTCTTTAGCAAACTTGACAATGAGTTGTTACGCCAGCACTGCTCAACCATTTTCCCAGAACAGATGCCAAAATTAATGGAAGCATTGTGGAATACAGTAAACCGAGGTGGCTGCTGACAGTCACATAGAATCCCTGCTGGCTGTGGTTGGCCCAGAGGCTATAGACCCATCAAGGGCTGTGAGGGTCAGCATCTGGCTGGGACCCATTGGCGGATGTGCAGTGAGTGAGCCACATTGACCTGGACAGAAGATTCTGGGCAAATCAATCATATGCCTAATTGAAGGACTTTTGTATTTATTTAAGATTCATATAAAGTATTCCTCAAGAAGAATTAGTTACTGAATAGCATTCTAAATGGCTGGAAATGCATATTATTTTATCTGCTGGATAGAGGATTCTGTGTCTAGTGAAACTGTGATAGCAATCATGTAAGCAATGTGCCTATCACCAGATGTAGTGCACGAGAAGTATCCTATCACGATATTTGTTATCGTTATCATCATTGTCATTATCATTACCCAGGTTGTTCACCTTCCCCAACAAGACCACCTCCGTTTTTATTTATAAAATAAGTATAGAGAAATAGAATGAATTTAAGTTTTAGAAAGTTTGGTGTACCTCACGTTTATACTTATTCATATACTTAAATAACTTTGAGAAAATGTAGGGCTTCCTTGTCACTTCACCATCTGTTTCTTTCTCCTTCCTATTCCCTCCACCACCTGTCTCCTTCCCCCTTTCACATCTCTCCTTGTTATGTCCCAAGTATTTCATACTGAATTTGAATTCCTTCTCCACAATTCACTAGATGAATAATTATGAAAAGCAGGAAACCTCTGTGTCAAATGCATATGTTAATATAATTTTCTCCAAGCAAAATAGGCCAAAGACATGGAAGAGGTGGACTTTTTAGTTTGGGATAGCTCCATTTTGAAACTTTAAGTTTTATTTATTTTTTTTATTACTCTTTGCATTATTTTATTTTTATTTATTTATTGTTTTTAATTTTAATTATTTATCTATTTATTTTTTTATTTTTATTTTTTTTGAGAGGGCATCTCTCATATTTATTGATCAAATGGTTATTAACAACAATAAAATTCTGTATAGGGGAGCCAATGCTCAATGCACAATCATTAATCCACCCCAAGCCTAATTCTCGTCAGTCACCAATCTTCTGAAGCATAATGAACAAGTTCTTACATGGTGAACAAATTCTTAAATAGAGAATGAGTTCTTACATGGTGAACAGTACAAGGGTTGTGATCACAAAAACTTTCAGTTTTTTCACACATTATGAACTATAGAAAATCAGGTCAAATAAGAATATTCATTTGATTTTTATACTTGATTTATATGTGAATCCCACATTTCTCCCTTTATTATTATTATTATTATTTTTTTAATAGAGTGCTGAAGTGATAGGTAGATGCAAGATAAAGGTAGAAAACATAGTTTAGTGCTGTAAGAGAACAAATGTAGATGATCAGGTGTGTGCCTGTAGACTATGTGTAAATCCAAGCTAGACAAGGGCAATAAAACATCCACGGATGCAGAAGATTTCTCTCAAAACAGGGGTGGGTGAGGTTCTGAGCCTCACCTCTGTTGATCCCCAATTTCTCACCTGATGGCCCCCCTGCGACTGTGCCTGTCTTAGGTTGTTCCTCCCTTGAGGAATCTTACCCGTCTCTGGCTAACCAGTCATCTTCCGGGGCCATACAGGGAAATGTAAAGTTGGTAAGTGAGAAAGAAGTCATATTGTTTGAAAAGGTTAGCTTTTTACTTCTTTGCAGATTTATGCCCTGTGGCTTCTGTGCCCAGCATTTGTCTTGAGGTATCTTTAGCACTTGGAGGAATTATGATACTCGGTGAATTCGATATGAGGCACAAATTCAATTTAAGTGTTGTAATAAGGTAGGAAGAAGAAAAGCTATAGAGGTAGCAGACGGAAGAAAAAATCAGAGGTTTGATTAATTCTTTGACATATCTTCTTGTAGAGTAACTTAAGCATGTATAGGTTTTAAACTACTAATTAAATTGCACACACACATTAGCATAATAGGAATACAGTTACATAACCAAAGCAGATCTATAATTACCAGCCATCTCCAGTGAAGCCAAGAAAACCAGTTAGGCACCCTAGGAATTTGTGAAAATTTGTCTATGATATAATGGATATTGTCCAACTGTACTTGAACAGTCTGAGAGAAATCAGACAAATTAAAACAACTCATTCCTGGGAACTGTTCACATCCCATATGTTCTTTTAACAGTAGATAGTCTGTAGTTTTAAGATTTTGGAGCTCTACAACTTGCACTTTTCCTAATTCTTGGTTGAGTTCTAACAGTATAGATTCAGTCAAATTTGTTGTTTTACTGTATGCACAGGCCAGCTTAGATATCTCCTTCTTCATTCCAATGGCAAGTCCAGGAACCTGTGGGATGAATGCAGCTACAACTGCAGCATCGCCTGGATCTTTGTTGAGTTTTTTTGATGATCATCTTCTGGTATGACTCTTCCAGAGAGTGCTGATGTTGGAAGTTCTTCTTCATATCGTTCATTTTCTGGGTAGCCAAATTAAGCTTTGATCCTCTGTATAAACACAAACAGACCCTTGGCCCACACTTTGATATGCCCTTTATACCATTGTGTAGAACTTATTGGAGGTCATTACCCAGGAACTGTTTTTTTTAAGAGAAAGGAATATTATCAGAAAAGTGTACCTCCATAACCAATCATCTGACAACCTTTAAGTGATCAAAATTAAGGATATTTAAAGCATGCTTTAATCATTGATTTACAGTTAGTTTTATCCAATCATGGAGTAAACCCTCTTTTCTTTCTTTCTTGTATTTTTCTTATCTTTAATCTGCACTTACATGAAGAATATTATGTTCACTAGGCTCTCCACTATACCAGGACACCCCACAAACCCTTTATAGACACTGTTCATCAGCATAGAAAAATGTTGTAGAATACCTACTTGCCTTCTCTGTGTTGTACAGCCCTCCCCTTTCTCCCACCTCCCCCTATGCATGCTAATCTTAATACCCCCTTCTTCTTCCTCCCCCCTTATCCCTCCCTACCCACCCATCCTCCCCAGTCCCTTTTCCTTTGGTACCTGTTAGTCCACTCTTGGGTTCTGTGATTCCACTGCTGTTTTGTTCCTACAGTTTTTCCTTTGTTCTTGTACTACACAGATGAGTGAAATCATTTGGTATTTCTCTTTCTCTGCTTGGCTTATTTCACTGAGCATGATACCATCCAGCTCCATCCAAGTTGCTGCAAATGGTAGGATTTGCCCTCTTCTTATGGCTGAGTAGTATTCCATTGTGTATATGTACCACATCTTCTTTATCCATTCATCTACCAATAGACATTTAGGTTGCTTACAATTCTTGGCTATTGTACATAGTGCTGTGATAAACATAGGGCTGCATCTGTGTTTCTCAAACTTGATTGCTGCGTTCTTAGGGTCAATTCCTAGGAGTAGAATTCCTGGATCAAATGGTAAGTCTATTTAGAGCATTTTGAGGAACCTCCATACTGCTTTCCACAATGGTTGAACTAATTTACATTTCCGCCAGCAGTGTAGGAGGGTTCCCCTTTCTCCACAGACTCACCAACATTTGTTGTTCTTTGTCTTTTGGATGGCAGCCATCCTTACTGGTGTGAGGTGATACCTCATTGTGGTTTTAATTTGCATTTCTCTGATAATTAGCGATGTGGAGCATCTTTTCATGTGTCTGTATTTCTTTTTAGGAGAACTGACTGTTCAGTTCCTCTGCCCATTTTTTAATTGGATTATTTGATTTTTGTTTGTTGAGGTGTGTGAGCTCTTTATATATT